CTCTCTCAGAAATAAATAAAACATTAAAAAAATTTTTTTTTAAATGACAATTCCTATCTTTGTTTCACCTAGCTCATGTGGATATTAGTGAATATTCTAGGCCATCTCAGATGTATCTGACATATCTCAGATGGGTATCTCCCCAAATATGTGAGATTCTCTGGCACCACTCTCATCTATATATTCTCTCTGATCCTTCTGATAATTTATAGACTTTCAGTTTGTTTTTACTTCTTTTGTTCTTTGTTTTGCAAACTGTCCTTGAGTTACTGTTACATGTTAAGCAATGTGCACGTTATTATGCTAGCCACTGTTGTAAAATAAAACGATCAATAAGACATCATCATTTCTTTAGGTGTTTCTTTTCTTTACACACAAATAATGTAATACAAGGCAAGGTATTTGAATGCCTTAAGAGTAATCTAGATCAAATGCTACAGAAGATCACAGGACACAGGGGGAATTCCAAGATGCTTTGCCAAAAATCATTCTAGGAAAGCCGGATAATCTCTTTTTTTGTTGTTATCTCCAACTCTGCTGGGATCTAGTACAAGGTGGTTCTCTTCACAATTAGGAACTTTTGCATTGGTGCTAAAAAGTGGTTCAACTGTCCAAGTTTCAATTTTCAGTCCCTTTGATTTGGCCTTGAGGAGAGAGGCATGATTTACTTTCTTTCTTTTTTTTTTAATAGAGAAAAAAAAGGGAAGCTCAGCAAGGTCAAGCACAAGTCAAAAATTGTTATGTAAGGCAGACCCTCATCACTGTAATGATCTAGAGTTTCCAAGGGCAAAACAAGGTTGGTCTTAAATCGGGATTTATTACAAGTCTGCCCTTTTAGGAGCCTAATAATGGTCACTCCTTGGGATGTTTGCTTTCACCTGGGATTTGTCTGACGTCCATTTAAGTGCAGAGATGCTGGAATTGGTAGAATGGGGGCCAAAGGCAAATTACAAACACCGGGTGAGTAAGTCACAACAGGTTCCATGAATTCTACTTGACTTGCTGGTTAAGTCTTAGAAAACTTTCCGTAAAGCAGCTGTCATTGGCTATTTCATGTGAAAGATAAATAAAATTAATATTTATTGAATGTTCAGTAGATTCCAGGCTTCCGTATTCTACATGGATTATTTCATTTATGGGTAGTCTGGTTATTCCTATTTTACAAATAACAAAACAGAGTCTTAGAGTGATTAAGGAATTTTTCAAAGGTTACACAGCTAGAAAGTGGTGAAATCAGGATTTCAATTAGGATTGTATAAAGAAGCAGTGTATAAATAAGGAAATAGGGGTGCAGGGTTGGCTCACTCGGTTGAAAGGCACACTCTTGATTTTGGCTCAGGCCATGATCTCAGGGCTAGAGATTAAGACTTACAGAGGGCTCTGTGCTGACAGCGAGGCGGCTGCTGGGAATTCTCTCTCTCCCTCTCCTCTTGCTTGTATGCATGCATTTGCACACACGGACACTCTGTCAAATAAATAAACTTAAAAAAATTAAAAAATAAGGAAATGAAATTTATTTATAGACATATTTACATAAATATATACTTATACATATGTGTTTACACACATATTTAAATTTAATCTCCCAAAATTATTCTGTAATAAAGATTCCTATCAAATACAATTAGGAAAATGGACAATCAGGGCCATGAGAAGGAGAAGTGTGCTAACCCTGTAAACTCCACCTTTGTTTGATTGTCACACATGAAAATAAGAAAGGAAAAATGTAGACCTTTATATTAAAAAAATTTTTTTCATAGAACCTTTTAAATGCCCTTTTATCCAGACAACAGTTTTTATTTTCATAACCCTCTATTATGAAAATTGAATAAACTCTATAAAAGCTATTATTTTTCTTACCATATTTTTAAAAAGATGTTTTATTTATTTTTGAGAGAGCGTGAGCAGGGAGGGGCAGAGATAGAGGGGTACAGAGGATACAAGGCCGAGAGCCATCAGCTCTATGCTGATAGCAGAGAGCCCTACGTGGGGCTCGAACTCAGAAACTGTGAGACCACGACCTGAGTGAAAGTCAGAGGCTTAATCGACTAATCCACCCAGGCACCCTTTCTTGATCGCATTTTTAACTTTTGAGCATCACTGCCAGTTAAAATTTCTTAATATTCTTAAATGAGATGATAAAAATATAAAAAAGGATTTCCTAAATGGTAAAATACCATGTTACATTTAGTTCTAAGCCTCTTTTCCTTAGTGGTGAGGTCTTATCTATCATACAGGAGACTGGTAATCCATTCTATTGCTTCTCCAAGAAGGAGGCAATTTTCCTTTTCCAGAATCTGGCATACACAAGTGTCTAGCACATAGATCCCTCTCAATAAAGGATCTGCAAAAGAATATTGAATGATGGCTTATGCTGCCACATGATGCCTAATACACCACCAGTATATAAAATGCATCTTAAAAAACGTGTCATTCTCTCAATTTAAAGCCTCTGTGGACTCACCCGTTTTCCAGTAACAGTAAGGTTTTGGAGTGAGGCATTTCTGTGCACTCCCGTATGCTCCCTTGCATCAGTCCTCGACAACACCTTGCACTATCAGCTCTCCAAACTTGAATGCAAAACTTTGGGGCATGTGTTAAGACTATATCACAGGAGTGTGGGAAGAGAATATTAAAACTCTTACTTAATTTTATTTTTCACTTCATGCTTTTTCATTTTATTTTTATGAGGATATGCTTTGTATTGGTAAGTATTATATCCTTGTAGTGGTGCACTTCAAAGACACAGAGAGGAAGAGAGAGAGGAAGAGGGGGAGAGACAGGGGGAGAGAGAGGGGGAAAGAGAACATGTTCAAACACCTTCCTGATAGCAATATGTGATCTAAAAGTTTGAAAAGTGTATCTCTAAATAATTCTGCCAAGCTTAGCATAAGTCAGCCAAAAAAAAATTTTTTTTTTTTTTTTGCGACCGTAAAGAAATAAAGGATGTTTTCCTATGGTTGGAGTTGGGGGTTAGGGGTTAGGGGTAGGCTGGTCTTTTATATTTTTCATAACACACAAATACACTAGCAAATAATCACAACACTTAACTCAGCAATTAAATATAGTAGATTGTGTTGATTTTTTTTTTCCTCCTCAGAAAACAGCACAGTGAAATCCTGAGAAAGTTTTTCTGATTTTTCCTCCATTTGCCTCTTATCCCTGAAGTTCGTTTGGAAGGAAGGACTGTCAAGTTACTCAAAACTGGAGTCCTGGGTTTATGTTCCTTCTTCACTGCTATTCTGTGTAATATGGATAATTTGTCCCTGTCTCATTTCTCTGATGGGTAAAATAGAGATAATAATACTGAGCCCCTACCTCATTGCAGTGCAGTGTGGATAAAGAACACTTTGTTCTATTTTTCAAATAAATACAAAGTGCCATTAATACAGCTCTCAATCTTATCAGTTTAAAATGCAGGGATTTTATGTACTTTTTAAAAAAAGTTATTTGCCTTTAAAAAATAAACGAAACAGCACATTTATAAATACCATTATTTGTTTTCTAAACTTCATAAACTTAAATGTTCTCTGTATCTGTTTCTCTTTTCCACTCTTACACACTCATATATACACACGCTCATTTGATAACTTCATGGAGGTGAGAGAAAAACCTCGAGATGGCATCAAGGAAATAAAAGGGATTTGAAATAAGTTCTCTTCAGTTTTCCTTTAAGTTTTAAAGCTATGCATCTAGGCCATAAAATCGTAGTGTTTATTTAATCTTCAAAATGTTTGTGTTTAAGAATAATTCACAGACTCTTAAATCAGAAGGAATCTTAAGAAAACATCTGGGGTCTATGATAATGTCTGGCACATAGTAGATGCTGAATAAACATTTAATGAAGAGAAGCTGGGGAAGCTTCTTATTTTAATCTTAGAAAAAAATAAAAGAAAAAGAAAAAAAAGTAACCCCAAACCAACTCTGATCATTAAAGAGGTTAAGTTAGTTGCTCTAGATTGTTCACCTAGGTTAAGCATGGGGTCTAGAATTTATTCCTCTTAATATCCAACTTTGTTTTTTCCCCCCAGCAGTCTGTTGACTTGTTTATATAGGAGTGCCAAATGTAATCTCCAAAGATGGATCACAGAAAAAAGAAATCAGAAAGAGCAGTCTTCTTTGCCTTCACCATGTCCAAAAGTCACCCAGCATGTGATGTTCACGTATGATATGAAATATGTAAATACCATCTACGATATGCAAAATATAAATCTTCTATATAGATTGACTCAAAAGGTCTATTTTTAAGGGAAGGGGTCAATAGCCAATCTTCCAGGACGTAGTCTACCTTAGAGCACCGTTTGGATATCCACGCAGGTGATTTGCGGTAGTCTGACGAGCTAAAAGTAGATAGGTTATTTCAGCAAAACGTTTATCTTTGTCTCTGTGTATTGTTGCATTGATTTTTCTGAATTTACCTACGAACGAGGCGTTAACAATCTCAATGCATTATAGCCCCAATAAACTTATCTTGCACTATTTTGGCCTATGTGATAGCTAACCCATTGACCAAAGAAATCCGGGCTGCTAAAAGCCTTTCTTGGCCACTTGTTAGCCAGATCAGGCTGTAAAATCATAACACAATGCACGCCTCTTCCATGGGGCACCACAAGGCAGCGATTAAAAAAAAAAAAAAAAAACAAAACCCTCACTTCCATATCCAGTGGAGTTGTAGTTTATTACTATAACCCTCCCAAGTCAAAAGGACACCAGTTTCAAGCCTGGCAACTTGGTGCAGACAAGGTTTTCCCTCCTTACCCTACTCTGCTGGGCCTCTGTACCTGTCGTCTCCTACTGTCTACAGGTCCCGAACATTAGAAAATAGAAAATGTGATGATCTTTGTGTGTCTCTAAAATGTGTGTATGTGTGCGTGTGTTTGGGTGTAACGGGCCTTCTGTTTGGCCGCGCGGCCTGTCTGTCAGGCCGCGGGCCAATGGCAGGCTGCCTTATATAAAATGAGTGTTTTCAGTCTCTCCGGGTTGCATGTACTGTATGTGGAGCAGTGTACAGTGAAGCGGAGGCAGAGCGGCTCCGCGAGCTCCTCTCCACTTTCCCATAGAGGAACCCTGACTGGCCGCTGAGGGCGAGCCACACACACGCCCTCACGCCCGGCGAGCCCGCGAGGTAAGCGCCCCCCATCCCCAGCCCTTCCCGGGCGCTCTCCCCGCACTTTCTTTTTTCCTACTCACTTGCGAGCCGCCGGGCTGCAGCCCCAAGGACTCCGCGGCAGGAGCAGCGGCGGCGGCGGCGGCGGCAGCCGGTAGGGTGGACTTGAGGAAGACGGAGGGAACCCCGCGCGTCCGGAGCCGCCGCTGGCCGCTCCGCTCCCGGGGCACTTTCCCCCTCCGCCAAAACTTTGGGTCGAGAGAGGTCGCGGGCGAGGGTCGCGGCGGCCGCGCCGGCTGGGGGCGGGGGGCGCGGAGGCAGTGCCCTGCGGGCGGGAGGCTGGGGGCCGGGCTGGGGAGTAGTAGGCCAGCCGGTGCCAGGCTGCGTTTGCAGCCAGCACCTCTCGACACACAGGCAGCGCCGCCCGAGAGGGGCACGGGCGCCGGGGCGCGGGCAGAAGCAGCCCGAGGAAAACAACAACAGAGCCAGCCCTCACGCCGGCGGGCGGCTCGTGGCCGCCCGGGGAGCCCCAAACTTCATCGCGGCGAAAGTACGTGGATCCCAGCCTGCCGGGGAGGTGGGGCCTGGGGAGCCGGGGCAGGGGAGGAAGGTACGAGGAGCCAGCCCTCGGTGGATTTATCGAACGTTCCGTGTGCGTCGGTGACCGGGAACAGCAGCCCAGTTGCTCGTTCATCTGGAGAGTTGGGATTTGGGTGTTCCGGCCCCGCAGATCGGTGCCCTCTCACCCCCCCACCCCTAACCAAATGCGCGGCGAGTAGGGAAAGTGCTGTTTTAGTGCCAGAGTAACCAGGAGGAAGAATAGGGGGGAGAGGGGGAAGAGGGTGAGGGAGAAGGGGAGAGAGAAGAGGGAGGGAAAGCGGAGGGGGGGGGGGAGACGCGAGCGAGCGAGCGAGAGAGAGAACGGGAGGGAAGAGAGGAGGGGGAAGAGGAGGAGGGAGGCTGTGTCAGGATTTTGCTTGAATGTGGGATTATGTTGTGTCAATAAGTTTAAGGTGGAGAGAGCGAGGCTGGGGGGGGTGGTGGAGGGGAGGAGGAAGGCCTTCGCTGTTTAAAGTCTCATTTCTGAAGGTAAGTTATGGCATTGCATGGTCGCGATGACAGAAAACTTGCAGATCCTTTATCCGGGGATGGGGTCGATGCCTCTAGAAAGAGCTCCCCAGTCCTTTTAAGCCACACTCGTGTTACACTGTTATTTGCTGCGATCCGGGTCGCTAGTAAATTACAGAAATCAGACTCGAGGTTTCTTTTCCTCCTCCACCTCGTCTCGCTCGCTTGCCCTCAGAAATTTATTATTATTTTTTAAATTTCTCGGTATTGTATGAAACTTAAACGTAACTGTGGCCAAACCGGAGTCCAGTCATTTACAAGGACCCTCAAATCCAAGGATCTGGAACACGTTTCTGTGTGAAATATTCGCGATCATTTCTGCTAAATGAGGAAGGTAAAACGAAACGATGCAAAAAGCTAAGACACAACATGTACGACAGAGGGGGGGGGAGAGGGAGAGACGGAGAGAGAAGCTATTTTTTGCTTTCCTTTCTGTAGAAAGGAAAATAAAACGTGCATTCCCCTTCCCTCCCGGTGTGTAGGGGCTAGTCCATATTTTAACCGTCTGAGGACAAATTAGTCCAGGTGGATCCTGTTGAAAAGTTTTCGCGAGGTGGGGTGGAGGTGGGGGCGGTACGAAGGGGAAGGTGGGTGGAGGGTGTGGGGGATGGGGCAGGAGCGAGCTCTGCCGCTGCTAATGGTCATTGGCCTGGGGCTTTGAAACCATTGCCTGTCCTGCTAATGACACGTCCAGTTGTCGTCTCCAGGCCGCCGACGCCGGGCTGCCGGCGACTGGGGTACTTTCCCCACGCGGGGAGGGGCTTTCTTCGCCATCCCCTGGGGTTGCCCACTCGCGGCGTGGGGGCCCCACGCGCGCCCCCCCGACCGCGCGCGCCGCCGCCGCCACCTCAGCTCGCGCGACTTTTGTAGCCAGCCCGCGGCGAGGGGGCGCGGGGGGTCCCCGGCGCGGACGTCCCCGCGCGGCCACCCCGCGTCGGGCCCCACGCGCGCCGCGCCGCGCGGTCCAGGCTCGGAATGGCAGCGCCCGGCCGGGCGGCGGTGCCTCCCCGGGGGGCAGCGGAGGCAGCGGCGGTGGCGGCGGGATCTTCGCCGGGGCCCGCGGGAGGAGGAGGAGGAGAGGGAGGAGGAGGAGGAGGAGGAGGGGAAGGAGGAGGAAGAGGAGGAGAGGGAGGCGTCTTCTGCCCAGACCGCCGCCAGTTCGAGCGGGCACGGCGACGGGGACACCCCACTCGTTGCTCCTCCGTTATGGAAAGGTGCTTAGCAGACTTTTACGCCCGGAGTGTGGGATTTGTACTTCATTTTTCTCTCCCCCCTCTTCCCCAAAGCAAGATGGACTCTATTCCCTTTCTCTTTCTCCCTGTGCCTCTGCCTCTGTCTTGTCAGCCTTTAAGATCGACATTTTGTACTAAGATGCAAACTTGATGGTGACCAGCAACAAAGGCGGGGTGGGATCCCTCGCTCCCTTCCTCCCTCTCGGTTTCCTGGCTCCCCCCACCCCGACCTCCAAGACCCGGTGGCCCTGCACTTGCCGCCCGGGGCTCTGGCGAATGTGTTTCCCGGCTCGGTTCCGATCTCCAATCTCGGGATTGTAACTGGGGCCGGGCGTTTGGGCGACGGCTGTGGCCGCCCCAGGTCTGCAGGGCTGAAGGCTGCGCTACCTGGACCCGCTGCCGTCGCCGTGCTACCTCCGGCCGGCTCCTGGGCACCGTGGAGGCTCGGGCAGCCTATCGATTGCTATGATTTGGTTACTGGTATATTTGTCCTGGGGGCGGCGATCACTTGTGCAAGTTGATGAATGATCGCGGTGTGGGTTTTGGGTTTGCAGACAGGATCAACTTTCAGCTTTGTGCATACGGGGAGTAGGGAATGAGGGTGCTGGAGACACCCTGGAATGCCAGCTGGGTTTCCCTCAGCCTCTGCCCTTTGAATAAAGGGAGCTTCTTTGCTTGTATTGCTCCACAGTTCGCGCGTGGGGGTGGGAGGAAGAGGGGGGGAGGGGTTGGTGGGGAGCTGGACTCCCGGGTTTTGGGGACCTTCCTTCATAGGTGTTGCAGGAGTTGAGACTATTGTAAAGCTCTACCATACTGATGATGTACCTTTATTTGATACTTTATAGGTCACTATCATATGACAAAGGCTTTGCCGCAGTTCATCTTCCTCCCAGTGTACTTTCCATTTGCCTTCCTGGGTAAGTATGCAAACTCTTCCCACAGGGAAGCTGGACAGCTATTAGCAATGACCTAAGGGTCCTTACTGCTCACATAAGAAGGTGGCTTACTGGGGTTCCAACAACCCAGAAAGCTGGTCACCCTCGGTTTCACAGCAGAAATCAATTTATGATCATTAGTGTTTAGAATTCAGTTACTCTTATTATTTAAGATAGTTGAAATGTTTCTCTCACTTTTATCTGCAAGTGTCATTTGAAAACTTATTTTCAAATAGTCATTTAGTTGATAATGAAATTTTACAGAGTTGAAGGCCTGGGAAATTTAATACTAGATAATATGATAGAAAGATTGCAGCCTATAAGTGGAGAGAATTATTAAAAACCCAAGGAAGCATTGTGCAGAATGCCTCTCTAATTATAGAGACTGACATTTGCTTACTCTTTCTTAGGTGCTCTGTCTTGGGTAACTTGTGCTGTTTGTGACAGTTATTTTTGTGGTGGGGAAGGGTGGACTAGGCAGTGTAGTAAATCTAGTATTTAGATATAAAAGGCCTGATATAAAAGGCAAATAACCATTTCCAAATTAATCATAATTGCCTGCAAAATTTGTATACTTAGAGAAATTGGGTATATTTTAGCAGCCTGTATATACAATAAACAATGACTCAGAAGTCCCTTAAGTGCCTTTTTCAGACGTATGCACCCAAATGGAAGAATTGGTGAAATAATGTGTAGGGCAGCAAGTGCCCGAAAAGTTAGTTTGTGAGAAGTAACAGTATAGGTGAGGGTTTATAGGACATTTGAAAGTAGCACGGTGAGCCCACATTGCTTGCAATTGGCCCCTCAATTGTAAGGAACACCTCAGTTATTCCAAGTTGCTGATAAATTAAGAAAACTGGTTGTACTAAATGTGTAAATCAGTTGTGATACTTAATCATGTTTCTGTAATGAAGACGAGAGTTTATATTTTGTGAATGAAAACAGACTTGAACTCAGTTTTCCATAAAAGAAAAAGGAAAGGGACCTTATCTATTTGGGATATTATATTACCATTATATATGTTACTAAAATGTTGTTTTCATATTAAGAGGAATTAGGGCCATGCCTTTCTGGTAGTTTCCATATAGTAGCAAAACATACTTTGACATTGCTGAGAACCGTAGGTGATTAGAAGCTCATTGTCCAACATCTTTCACGGAATGTAAATATCACATTATTTCAGATAGTTAAGAGAACCTCTTAATACGTCACATACCTAACAGCCCTATTGGAATGGTCAGAATGAGATGGTTCTGTGAGATGAATTTAGTGCACAACAAAATATGTGGATTTCAGTGTCTTTGATTTTTTTTTTTTTTTAAAGCTTGTTTGCAAGAGAAGTTTTTCATTTTTGAACATATGGCAAGAGTATTCAGAATGCATTCCTGATTTACTAAAGAACACCACATTTATACATGTGAGGCACATTATTTTGTTCAGTGGAGCAAACTTTTAATGTTAGTTCTTTCCCCATGGAAGTATATTTGACCAATTCAAAATTTTAAATGGGAATCAGTAATTTCCAGAATAAAAGCGATCTGATGAGCTCTTGCATTTCTTTGAGATATCAAACAACTGCTTCATTAAAACAATATTTTCAAGAACAGGCTTGGTCTTTGAAGTCAGAGTAGTTTTTGTAGTGTAAAACTTGTAGTAGTGATCTAAAAGAAGTCACCCTGACCATGAATTACCAGATATTTGCATCTAAAACATATTTATTTGATTTGAAGCTTAATTATCAAAATAAGAATTTAGATAGAGGTTTTGCTATTATATTGCCAAGAGTTTCCAAACTTCCCATTTTATTATTCTGCATATCTCTATTACGTTCTGAAACTGAAGTCTTAATTTGCATTTCACATTTAATGCTAGCTATTAAAACAGGGGTTCATATCTGTTGTTTCTTAGTGCTACATCTTTTAAAGGTACCCTGGTGGGTTAAGTGCACGAGAGACTTCGCTATTAACAAAAACTTGCAATTTTGACACCTTCTATTTTTTTTTAATCCATCTCATCTTTATATCTAAGTTAAAAAAATAAAGTTCTGCGTTTAGGAGTTTGTAAGATAGTTTTGTCTTATACATATAGCTCTGCTATACAACTTGGAAAGTGTATGTCTTTGACTTTATAGATCTGATCTTTATGCTTAATGCATTGAAACAGAGGAGATTTGTTTAGACATTGAAATTAAAACACACCTTTGAGTGAAAGCTAGTATGAACACATAATTATGGTTTGCTTATGCTGTAACCATGTAATTGATAAGGCTTTTTGTATGTAATTAAAAAAAGAAGGAATAGTCTCGAAATAATGTGGCACAATTCATGAAAATCTAACTCAGCAACTAAAGTATAGAACCGTATTTTTCAGTAAAATTACAAGCATAATTTCTAATTAAAAATCAGCCACCATACTAAAAGTTTACATTTTTGTACATTTCATAGAGCATGAGTAAAAGAAGGGCCATATTTTTAACTGCATCTTAAGATGAACATCAAGTACTTTTATATTAGAAATCTTTAATAGAAGTAATTAAGATTTCATAGTTTAGCCCTACTAAAAAAAAACTTCGAAAATAGCCTCATTATCAACATATCTGTTGTACTGAAGGAAATCCTTGATATTATTAATGTCTTAAAAAGTGCAGAAATGTTTAAAATTGTGATACTTAAATGTTACTAAGAAAAGTTACTAAATTTAGGCAATTAATTGGCATATTGCATCATGACCAGCATGGTACACCTGTATTTTAAGATGTAATTTTTTTTTTTAATGCTTATTTATTTTTGAGAGAGAGAGAGAGAGAGTGTGAGTAGGGGAGGGGCAGACACACACACACACACACACACACACACACACACAATCACACAATGTAGAATGCTCAACGAACTGAGCCACCCCAGCACCCCAAGACTTAATCTTAAGCAGTGTTTAACTTAAGAAAAAAATGTTTTCTTGAACTTGGAATTTGAAGTCCACCTTATTTTTTTAACATTTTACCACTGAGGGCATCTTTTAAAGTAGGTCCCAGTGATAGCTTTTTTATATTTTTCATCGACTTTCTTCCTCTCACTATGAAATGAAAACAAACCCAAATTATAAAGACATTGTGATTTCACTACTTGGTTTTTATCACGTGCCCCAGGTATATTGGATACAGGTGGTCTTCAGGCTATACTTTGAGAAACACTCCTCTGAAGGTAGTAAGGACTGAAGCTAAGGATTGAATGAATCTTCCAGCTAGAAGATTCTGTGACTGTAATTCAGTCAGTGGGTTTGTACTACCTCAAGGGCAGTCATCACATACTGTATCAAATTGTAAGAGATTTCTGTATATTAAGTTATACCTGAGGAAAGCACTTTTTGAGTACAGCTTCACTCAACATTCATATGTGTTCATTTTATCCTTTAGAAGACAGTTAACAGTTTGTTGAAATGCTAGGACATCATGTTAAAACTGTAAAGATATATGCAGAAAATCCTCATGTATTAATGGGGATTGCTTACATTTTTTTTTCTTTGAGATGAGATGAGGAAAAGATGAGATGAAAACTGGAGTAAGTACCAGTTACACAATGGAAATACAAAAGAAGGCAAGCCAATAACAAATTATATATAAAAGTATATATAAATACAAAGACGAAAGACTAATACATGAAAGATGTAAAGGATTGATTATAGACCATGAAGCATTGACATACCTACCAAAGTATAAACTTAATAAGTTAAAATATAGGAGTCAGTTCAAGGATCAAGATAATAAAATAACTTCAGTTCTGAGGAGGTTGTATAAAATACAAAGTTAAAATAAGAATGAGTTGAATTTTTTGAAGTCTTAGGAAAATAAAACGATACTATAAAATATTGATTAAATAATTAAACCAATAGTTAAACATGGCCCTTAGGTGAAGAGATCGAGGAATAAAACTGAAATTCCTAGAATGGAATAACTGAGATCCTAAAATGGGCACAGAAATGTTGGGTTTTTGGTAAAGGGAATATTTAAATAAAACACTGATAACTTATTTCAAAGGAGAAATAAGAGCAAGAGTAAAAATTGTTTAAAGCAGTTATATTAAATGTCTTTGAGATTTATGGTGAGAAATACCTTTTATATCCTAATCTGTGTATAAAAGCTGTAACAAAAGTTTCCTGAAATAGTATTAGGACCAGTACTCTCTGATATTTTTTACTTCTATCTAATCTTTGTAAATCTGATGTGTTCTGAACTATTTTATTTAAAAAATTATGATGTTATTCATTAAATTGATTTTATGACTTACAATTTGAAAAACACAAACCTGGAGGACTTGTTAAAAATGGAGGTCCCCAGGGGTGCCTGACTGGCTCAGTTGATAGAGTGTGCAGCTCTTGATCTCGGGGTCGTAGGTTCATGCCCCACACTGGGTGTAAAGATTACTTATTTTTATTATTATTTTTTTAACATTTATTCACTTTGGGGGAGGAGGGGCAGAGTGAGAGGGAGACACAGATTCTGAAGCAGGCTCTAGGTTCTGAACTGTCAGCACAGAGCCCGAAGTGGGACTCAAACCCATGAGCTGTGGGATCATGACCTGAGCCGAAGTTGGATGCTTAACTGACTGAGACATCAGGTATTCCAGGTGTAAAGATTACTTAAAAGTAAAATCTTAAAAACAATGGAGGTCCCCATGTCCCATATCCAGATAAGTGTGACTGAGGTGGGGCCCAGGAAACTAGCTCTTCAGTGACTCTGAAGCCAAGTTTAAGGTACTCTGACACACTTTGAGAACTCTGGTGTAAGGGACAGATGGCTGAAGAGGGAATAGGAGTCATGCACTGAATGTGGGGCTAACGTTCTTTGACTGATGAGTTCTCTTCCAGCTTCAATCTGTGGCTGTATTTCAGTCAGCATGTTTGCAGTACTGAGAGAGCCCTTGTCATCCTCTGTTGATACTCCCAGAGTAGCAGGTGTAGTACAAGGAGCAGAGGCTTAGAAGCCA